CAGACAGACAGACAGACAGACAGACAGACAGACAGACAGACAGACAGACAGACAGACAGACAGACAGAGACAGAGAGAGATAGAGACAGAGAGGGAGACCGAGACAGGCCCCCACACACATACACCTCAAAGAGCAAAACCTCATTGTTATGGAAGATTAATAAACTCTACGCATTTCTTAATTTTGGACGGTAAAGGTTCTGGTTCAGGTAAAAAGGAAAATAACAGAATGCGGAGGAAGTGAAGAAATCATAAACATGTAATTGCATGCTCTCTTGACACGATTCGGTGGAATAATAAGAGTGCAATTGTTGGTATTGAAAAACAAAACAAATTAAGTTGTCCATGAGTGTGTTATCGGTGTCCGATCGATTCAGATGTATACATATCGTATAATAAGAAATTAATTTGGAAGGGGCATAACTCATATAACGTATATTGTTAACTTTAATGTTGAAGAGCTATTTACCTTTCAGAACTAAAACTATGTGTAACGACACGGTGGAATCAGGCGTTCATCAATTTTCGGACAAATGGCGTTATTGGTATTACCTTTAAAAGCCATTTTGCTTGTCATGCAAACAAATTATAATAATCCTCCTTTCTGAGTAGAAGTCGAGGTATCTGCGATTGAAAGAAGTGAGGGTCGCGTATTGTCAGAATTAAAATCAGCGAGAAAATGACGGTTAAGTCTGGTGTCTTCCAAAGCTAGAGAGTCTTTGTAAACTACTCAAATTAACCTTTTTTATGCCTTTGATCAACGAATATTAGTAAAGATCCACCCATAAGAGTGTCTATGAACAGACATAAAAGGTGTTGAGCCAGCAAAACATTTTTGAAAATGAAATAAAAAACCGAAAATTGCTCAACATGAAGTGTCGGTTTAACTGATTTCATCATTTTGACGAACGCCTGATTTCACCTCGATACCACACAATTTTTTTTTCATTCCAGAATGTCGGCGTTAACTCTTTGAGAGCTTGCCGTCTGGTTATTCAACATTGCTCGAAGACAAGCTTTATGGGGAGTACTTTAAAATAGAAAAATGGCTTCTTTTCTCAAACAGATTTTTAAGTTACACTCGAAACTAACTAAGACGACCACCCATCGTCGAGAAAAAAACCCTGGCTGTATTAGACATATTATGGCCGCCTTACACAGTGTCAGATAGCAACATTCTAAAAATTTGTCAGGGAAGAAATGGGGAGTGACCGTTTGTACTGGTGATTGTCTTTTATTGGTGGCTGTTGAAGCAGGTTTTAATGTGTTTATTTATTGGAATCTTTAAAAGCCAGGCAACAACACGCATACCATGAAACAGTGTAAGTTGGTGTTCCTGATTTGAGAATGATGGCTCGAAATATGCATCAACTGTTCCTTCGGTCGTCTGCTTGTCGGACATATGTGGCTGCTTCGTCATTAATTAAGATTGAACAAAAAGAACATTTCCTCGTATCGAAAAACGACTTCAAGCCCACACCCCACCCGTACTCTGTACAATGTATGAGTAACTCTGCAAAGGAAAGGGCTACTCCAACATTACTTCGCTACCGGGTACCATAAATTAAGTTTCATCTTAAAAGTTTAGCTGTTTTGTGTAACTCAGATCATGAGGTCAGAAAGGAGATTAGGTTCTATCTGTTCTGCTCTATCAAAATGATAAGATTATTCGGAGTCGTTATCAAGATATTTAAAGAATTGCATTCGTAAAGCTTTGAACATGTCGTGAAACTCAGAATGTTAGCTTCAAATTTCTCAAAACTAGGCCCTGAGCAGATAAAACTTTGTAATTCTATGTGTAACGACTTGTTAGGGCTGACAAGAGCTGTAAGGAATAACTAGCTACCTGGAAGTGTCAGTTATGTGTCAAGGGGTTGACGCGCAATGGCCAGACATTGCTTATGATTGCTAACTGTCACCACACTCTCTGACATACTTATCTATGGCCATGCCTTGATATCATCGCCCCCCCCCCCCCCCCCCCATTGTTCGTTTTCCACCTGTTAGTTGGCCTCTCATCTTGCCTTTCAGTATTTCCTTCATACTGGTCTGGTGTCGTTTATATGGCCAAAGTATTGTATCTGTACCGAATACACCTCATCAAAATGAATAAAAGACTCGATTTTATAAAAAAAAACTATAATATTTTTTTTATGTGGAAATAGTTGAATTCTCTCCTACTATAAATGAAGGGTGCAGTCTTTAGTTTCCTTTCCTTATTGCAGATGTTAACTGACAGTATACACTGAATTAAAGCAATTCAATGTTCCCCAGTATAGAAGACTCTTTTCTCACCGTCAGTTTTTTTTTTTTTTTAGATATGAGAGGGGACCTCTGTTTCTAATAGTCATATCTGAGAGACCCGATCTAAGGAGGTGAAAACCCGTTAGAACTCCCCAAACAACTTATAGTTCAAGAATGCCCTTGTTAGACATGATTCGAACCAGGGCCATCCACATAATGGCCAAGCCTTGGCATCAACTGGGTCTAAGAGGCCGTCGAAAGTGAATTCAGAAGAAGAAAACAATAAGAAAAAAGTAAACCGGTGCACTTTGGGGCGGGGTGAGAAGAATATTGAACCTAATATTTTAGTTTGTTAGGTCAACACTTGAGTGCTCAATCTGATGAGTGAAAACAGCTTCGAGCTTAGTTTTCTTGTCATTCTTGTCTATGGAACGTCATTTGGCCATGGACACGTTTTATGATGGCCTGTTTTTGTAGTTGTTTTAAAAAAATGAAACCAGGGTATTATTAATTTGGATTGTTTTCCCTCTCTCAAGCCTATTTCTCAATTATTGGTTTTTGTTTGTTGCTTTTTCACCACCTGTTCATCTTCCGTGTGTTTGCTTGCCTACCTGTCTGTCTATGTATCTGTCCATCTGTCTTTCTCTTTTCCATTTCTTTTTTTTCTTTTTTCACCCCCCCCCTTCTCTCTCTCTCTCTCTCTCTCTCTCTCTCTCTCTCTCTCTCTCTCCCTCTCTCTCTCTCTCTCTCTCTCTCTCTCTATCTATCTATCTATCTATCTATCTATCTATCTATCTTTCTATGATTCCCTGTCTCTGTCTGTCTGTCTGTCTGTCTGTCTGTCTGTCTGTCTGTCTGTCTGTCTGTCTGTCTGTCTGTCTGTCTGTCTGTCTGTCTGTCTGTCTGTCTCTGTCACTCACACACACAAACACATTTACACATACACATATACATACACACCCACCCCCCCCCACACACACACACATACACACACACACACACACACACTCTCTCTAATTCTCTTAACTGGGGTTATTTAAAAAAAAACACCAGTTGGAATTTGCTCAGGCAAACACTGTTATTGTTCCAAAGCTTCCATCCAAAATGAGATCGTTTCCTAAGAGTCTAGTAAGTCCTGTTTCCCATATTATGAACGTCGAGAAAGAATCTTGCAGATTGAAATCTTAAGAGAGATAGATCCAGTGTTTTGGGGTAGCAATGTTATGTAAGGATGTTTTTTGTTTTTTTTTTTACTGATATCTCATTATTTGTGTTACATTGTCGGTTCCGTTCTAGTCTACGTCTTTCCACTTTCTTTATAATTTGAACATCACTTAGGCTACAAAACAAGTATAATGACCCAAACGGATTTCCATTCCTTACCGAGGTAGCAGGTCGCTCCCTAATCCTTAAATCTTAGGTCACTAATCTGGATGGGATTAACCTAATCCCCGACACAGACCGGTATGCGAAAAGAAAGTGCCATTTTCCCTGTCTCGATACCTTAATCCTATATCGTAAACTCATAGCTCAGAGTCGAGTCTCTCTCTCTCTCTCTCTCACGTTACGATATTACTTATGTCATTGTCCCTAAAACAAAATGTACTCGCTCGTTAACGATTCTCCCAACTTTTCGTTTACTCAAAGTCGACCCTTCTCGAGAGAGGTGATCGGTACATTATGGAGAGAATGCGAAATCGAAACATTGTCTTTTGAGTGAGAAGGGATCTATATCCTATTTTCATCTTACTCATTTCCTCTGGCCGTTTGCATGTACTTCGATAATCTACCCTGCATCTTAGCGACCATTGGAAACGCCGGGCGCAATATGGCCGCTTGAACACACGGGGCTTTTAAATCCAACACATTGGGGGATAGTTTTGTGACTGTATTTCGATGCAAACAACGGAAATATAAATGAAACGGGAAAAGTCACAACTCACCAACCGATTTTTGTAGTAAAAATCTTGATTTCTTGTTCAATATTTCGACTTCTGACACAGGAAGATGTGAGTATATAGCCTAGAAATTGTTGTGGAGATGTCTTATACCTTCATTTTATGGAAGCTTTGCATTGCCCATGATTGTACTAACGATCAATTTATGGCTCTAATACCTTATAAAAACTGCGTATGCTAATGAACTTGGTGATTTGCGTAAAATGTCATTGCAAATAAATATAATTTATATTATTTTGACTAAAAACTTTCTCAAATCTCAACACTTTGAGATATTGACCCTGTTAAAAAATATCGCTTCTTGTGATTAATGTAGAAAGCTTTCCTAAAGCAATCCAGCAATGAAAATAATTTAAACTTCAATCATTGATGATTTATTTATAGAGGGACCAAACACTTATGTTTGGGTGCTGTTTAATCTCTTTTACGCGTTTTAGAAATTTAATTCTATTTTCCTGTTTTGTTTATGAATCAGGTATTTGGTATATTATATTTTTACCAGTAAAAAGCCTATACTACTTTTCTGCGATACTATATAAACTGCAGTCATCATCATCATTACCGCCATTAGCAGAGCTGTACCCTCTCTTGCTATCACGATTACTTTCAAAACCTGTTTCACAGCCTTATATTAGGAAAACATTTCCCTTTGTTTCCTCGCCCTCTTTTTTACTCCCTCTGTGTCTACATATTGAGGCATCGTGGTGAAATCAGTTGCTCGTAAAAATAATGAAATCTAAGAAAACATCATTTTTCTTCTCATTTGGCAATTTTTATGGACTATTTATTTTTGGGCTCAACACCTTGTATAAATATATTGCTGTATGGCTTTTACAGGAAAAACTTTTATTAGAGACATTATCCAAGTGACCCTCCCCCCCCCCCTCCCCACCCCCCTGTTTCAATTTGAAATACTCGAATTTTATTGAAGATAGATGGATCATTCATTCCTTCATCGAAAGTAAAACAAATGAACACGATTTAAGATATCTATAACTTCAAAAGCCCAAAAACTGACGAGCGCCTGAGCCCACCGATTCATAACACATAACATACATAATATAATTATACTTTTATGTTATAGTTTTGATGTATGCATCTCTCTCTTACTCTCTCACACTATCCATGTATTTTTATGATTATGTATGTCTATGTGTATGCTTCTATCTATCTATCTATCTATCTATCTATCTATCTAGCTATCTATCTATCTATCTATCTATCTATCTATTTATCATTTATCAATCCATCGATCGATCTATCGATATATCTATCTATCCATCCATTCGTCCACCCACCCATCCATCCATCCATCCATCCATCTATTCATCCATCCATCCATCAACCGTCCGTCCGTCCGTCCGTCTTTCTATCTATCTATCTATCTATCTATCTATCTATCTATCTATCTATCTATCTATCTCTCTATCTATCTATCTAACTATCTATCTATCTATCTATCTATCTATCTATCTATCTATCTATCCATCCATCTGTCTATCTATCTATCCATCCATCTATCTATCTATTTATCTATCTATCTATCCATCCATCCATCCATCCATCCATCCATCCATCCATCCATCCATCCATCCATCCATCCATCCATCCATCCATCTATCTATCCACTACAGCTCCACCACCATGAGCTGGCACCAGAAGTACCTGGAGACCCTGGCCGAGGGCATCGGCTACCTCTGGAGCACCAGTCACTTCGCCGATGCCACCATCTTGGTAGGCAACAAGCGCTTCCGGTGCCACAGGGCTGTTCTAGCGGCCATGTCACCGCATTTTGACGTCACTTTCAAGTGAGTACACAATAGCAATCTTTGGGATTATGTATTTAAATATATTGTTGGCTGTTGTAGTTACTTGAAAGGAAATTACACGTGGCAATTACTCTTTGGTTCTTTTAGATAATATGAGTTTAGGATATTCGACATGTGGGCCAGTTAGAAACAAAAAAAATACTAGGAGGAGTGGTGTGGGTGAGGGGAAGGATCTGAAGATATTAGGTATGCGTAAATATGTGTATATGTGTGATATGTAGATATGTGGGTATAAAGGTGTGTGTGTTTGTGTGTGTATGTGTGTCGTGTGTGCACTTGGGTGTGTGTTTGTGTGTGTGTGTGAATGTTTGTGTGTGTATGTGTGTGTATACGTGGGTGTGTGCTTGTGTGTTTGTTTGTGTATGTGCATTTGTATGTGTGCGTTTAAAAAAAAATTGTATGTGTATGTGTTTGTGTGTGTGTGTATGTTTGTTTGTTTGTTTGTGTATGTGTGTGTGTTTGTCTATTCGAACCAATATCACCTTCCAACGAGCACCTGTAATTGAGAGGTTATGTGTGCTAACTGTTATGTTTGCTTTAGTTTTTTTCGTTTTAGTACTTTGTGCGATTTAAGAAATAAGGAAACCAAAGAAATGATGTAATACAAATGTTTTTTCCTCCCCACTCCCTATATCTCACATACGTCCTCTTCCCCTCTTCGGCCTCCCACCCCCTACTTACCCTTCTGCCCCCAACCTTTATTCATTCACCCTCTACCACCCCATTCTCTCCCCCTTTCTCAACTCTTTACATTCGCCCCATCCCCATCCGACTCCCAGAACCACCACCTCCCCCCCCAAAGAAAAAATTAGTAGATCGGAAAATTTGTTCATTCATTCATTCATTCATTCATTCATTCATTCATTCATTCATTCATCCATTCATTCACTGATTCATTCATTTATGTATTCATTTATTCATTCATTCATTCATTTATGCATTCATTTATTCATTCATCCATTCATCCATTCACTCATCCATCCATCCATTCATTATTAAAATTTCATTCATCGAATTCATTAATTCATTAAATCATCACATTTATTATTTCTAATTCTCTCCCCACCCAGCACTGGAATGAGGGACAACCCCGACGGAGTGTTGACGCTCCTGAACATTGACGTGACCACCTTTGACAGCATCCTCAGCTTCATGTACACCGGCAAGGACGTGGTGTGTGCTGAGAATGCTGAGAGCTTGTTGAGGTAAACGAGGAATGCACAGTGGCAGAGAGAAGGCGGTGGGTTGGGGGGGGGGGGGGTTGATTTAAAAAGTGAAGATCGATCTTGTTAAGGTGAGTGAGGAATACATAGAAGCTGAGGATCTGAAAAAAAGAGAGGGGGGAGGGGAGGGTGATTTTAAAAGTTGAGATATTGCTTAGGTAAGTCAACTATACAGAGAGGCGAAGGATTAGAATGGTGGGGGAGGGGTAAATTAAAAAGTTGAGATCTTGCTGCGATGGGAGGGAGATAGAATGAGAGAGGATGAGGGAGGAAAGGGATATAGAGAGGATGTGCTGAGAGACGGTTAGTGAAGAGGGATAGTAATAGAAAAGCTGAAATTCTGCTTTGACCAGTAGTAATAGTAGTAGTAGTAGTAATAGTAGTAGTAGTAGTAGTAGTAGTAGTAGCAGCAGCAGTAGTAGTAGTAGTAGTAGTAGCAGTAG